ACAGGGAACTAAAAACCAGGCAAGTTACAGGGTATCCTAGCAAGCCCCCATAAATTCGGAATTCGACGGAAGGCAGAGGTATAGCAGCACGCCACCGCCGATATTAGAGGCAACGGAGGCGATGACACGAGGGCGATTTTGGGTACCGATTGCCAAGGAGGAGGAGGAGGGCGGTGAGGTGGGCGAGGCGGCCGCGGCGGTAGGCTCAGTGGCGGGGACGGCAGTGGCGGCGGTGGCGAACGGCGTGGTATCGGTGTCGGAGACACGGGCCGAGGGTAGGCTGTCGGAGCCGGAGGCGGCTGCGGAAGCGGCGGAGGAGGCAGAGGAGAACGAGTCCCAAGAGGCGACGCAGCAGCCGCCGCCCTTGTGGCCCGGCGACTCGTCGTCACAAGAGGAGGCCTCTCAGGATGAGATGCCGCTGGGCAAGGAGGCGCAGGTGGTGGACTTGCTGTCGCAGCTGAACCCGCCCGCCCAGGGGCAACGCCAGTCGGCTAAAGGGCAGCAGCAGGCGGCATACGTGTATTTCGAGGCGCCCCGCAAGCAGGCGAGCCCGCTCCAAGCATTGCTGATGCCGGCGGCCAAGCGACCACGTGAGTAGGTGGCAGGTCGAGCTTCGAGTGGGCGCGCGCATGCAGGCTGCATGTGGGTGGCTGGATGTGGAGGCGAGGTGCCGCTGACCGACCGACAGGAGCTCGACGGGACGGCCGTACATGCACACGGGGGAGGCGTCGATAGCCGATGCCGTGGCACCTCTGCGGTGTGGACCCCCATCTTCTGCGTAGAGCACCAGCAGCACGTGCACGCCGACCCGTCTCGTACCCACGTACCAGCATGCACCGCGCGTCGTATTGAGGGGTGCACAGCTGCAGGTGGGGCTGGAGTCCATCCGCCCACTCGATCCGCCCACTGCATGACGCCCGCCGCTGACATGTCGGACCATACAAATTGCATGTTCTCCTTCTGTTGTTTGTCGCCGCAGGTGTTTCACGTACGTACTGACTGTACAGGACACATAGTCTGAGGGTTAGGTTTCTGGAGCCTCGGGTGCTTCTAGACTTTTGATCGGGTCAGGGGAGAGTGCGACTTTTATCACTTCGATCGTCTCGGAGCGCCTAACTTTTAGCATTTCGTCTCAAAAAAAATTCGGCGCTCCGGGCCGGAGGCTCGCGCGCCGGAGGTGCAGTAAGTATAGTAGCTATTGTCCCGCGAAGTAGTTCCCGCACACTATGGCTAGAAAAATGCTGTGCTGCTCGCCTCGAAAGCGCCCCTCGCAATTTTTTTGCGTGCCTGCGGCGCGCGACTTTTAGGTAACTTTTACCATTTTGCCCCGGGCGGGCCCACTTTTGTCGTTTTGCCCCAACTCTACGCCTAGGCGTGCTTTTAGCGTAGCGTTTTGACCCAAATCGGCCGAACTTTTAGGATACCCTCAGACTATGACAGGACATGACATACAATGGCATCTCGCATATGCATTTCTTAGAGCCTCTATAACACCTCACAGAGACGCGCAAAAAAGGAATTAAAACACAATACACTACTCAACACTCCACACACAGTCGACAGAGTCACAGAGATACGCCTACATACGTAGTTAAACGTAGATCGCGCATCCCCATCCGCATCAGTGTTCAAACTTTACCGGTATGAGACCGGTATTTGGTGATATTTGGATTAGTTTTGGAGTGGTATGGTATAGTGGTATGCAAAAGTGGTATGCGGGGTTTTCATTAGTTGTAGCGGCTGTCGGTGTGGTCCCGGGGGCAAAATCATACAAAAGTGCGGGTATTACCCGGGTATACCCGGGTTTTTCCAGGTATACCCGCAAAATACACCGGGTATTTTGCCGATTTTGCCGATTTTGCCACCAAGAAGGCACTCCGACTCGCTTTGATTTCCGTGAGGCAACTGGTATCCCGTACCACTTTTTGATTAGTGCAGGCCTTGGGTTTGATTAGCCAAAAACTCCCATACCGGTAAAGTTTGAACACTGATCCGCATGCACCTTGCACCCCACGCCATGTGGGGGGAGATGCGCACGTGTGGAGCTGGAGGTGTTTGTGGTTGCCAAGTCGGTCGCGCTGCAGCTTTTCCTTTCCGGGGATCTCTGCGCGGCAAACCGGAACACCATATTACTCGAGCGCCCCGGTGCATATGCGCCCCTAATCTCTCTCTACGCCGGTGCGCGGCGCTCTAACACATACCGTACATGCAACCCCGAGGGGGGGGGGGGGGGGGGCGCTTCCGCCCGCCCGCTCCAGTATCGTTAGGGTTATGTTCCAGCCCAATCGGGGGCTGGCTCCAAAACGGTCACTTTGCCGCCTCACCGCGGGAGCTCGAGGACAGCGTCGATGGGCGGGAGCAGCGGCGGCGGCACGAGCTGCTCGGCGCCGAGGAGGATCGACGCCTTCTCCCACGACGCCTTCTCGAGCCGCTCGGGCGCGGCGACGGCGAGCTCGTGCAAGTGCGTCACGCACGGCCAGAGGTCGCGCGCCGCGTACTTGGAGAGCTGCACCGCAGAGAGCGCCTCGCGCGCCAGCCTCGCGAGGTGCGTCTGGCCAGGGAAGGGGCGCGCGGAGAGGCCGCTGCGGGGTGCGGCGCGCTCGTCCTCGGCGGGGTCGGAGAGGTTGAGCCGCGAGCGGTAGAGGTGGATCAGCTTGCCGAGGCAGAGGGCGGCCGCGCCGAGGGCGGACGGCAGGTACTTGAGGCAGCGCTGGTCCTGCAGCGCCAGCTCGAGCACATACCTCGCCAGGAGCGACTCGTCGCGGCAGAGCACCGAGGGCGGCATGAGCGCGGTGAAGCGGCGGACGAAGGAGGCGGGCGTGACGGCGGAGAGGTTGAAGCGAAGCGTCGAGAGGATGAGCCCCTCCATGCGCACGAGGTCGCTTCGCTGGAAGGCGGCGGCGGTAGCCTGCAGGCACGGCGGCGGGGTGGACTCGAGGGCGGAGGGTCGGCTCACACTGGGGCGTGCCACATGGACATGGGGGTGCGCATCGTCTCTTGTCTCCCGGGCCAGGGCGAGAGCCGCCGGGACACGGCCGCCATGGCCGGCAGGGAGAGGGCGTGCGAGGAGGCGAGGGCGTGCGAGGCGAGGGCGGGCGGGGACAGGCAACTGCCGCACCTCCACAAAGTCGTCGAGGGGGGGCGGGAGGCGCTCCTCGTACTTGGCGGCGACCCAGGCGCAGGTGACGCCGACCAGCTGCAGCTTGGAGCGGCGGAGGGGCACGAGGGAGAGGAAGCGGTCGAGGTACTGCACGGCGAGGTGAAGCGTCTCCTCCTGCGGCGGTGGCGGGGCCGGCGTGGGCGGGCGGCAAGGAAGCAGGTGGGGGCGCGGCGATGTGAGGGGGGCAGCGCGAGCGAGGAGAAGGGAGCTCCCCGGGCTGGCGTGAGCAGGGGCGGGGGGAGGGGGGGGGGGGGGTGGGCAGCAGAGGCGCGCGCCGAGAGCTTGTACTCTCGCGAGAGTTCGATGAGCCAGTCGACGAGGATGCTGCGCATGTTGGCGTCGATGTCGGGCTGCAGCCGCAGGGAGTGGAGCTTGAGGGCGTGCGCCTGCGAGCGCTCGAGCTCGCGCACGGCTTGCTGCCCCTCCAGCGCGTACGGGTCGAACGAGTTGCGGCCCTGCAGGCGGGCGTCGGGTGAGTTAGCGGAGGCGTTGGGATCACGTCGGAGGCGGTTGGCTGACGCCTGGATGTACGGAGCGCCACCGATGCACTCGGCTGGGACGCCGTCGGCCCAGAGCGGTGCGCCGACTGGCGCCTCCTCGGCGTCGTTGCCCAGGTTTCTCCGCACCGCCTCGAGGATGGCCTGCCGTCTGGCGTCCCGCTGAGCGGAGGCCGACACGCCATCGGCACTCGACGAGGACGGCGGGGGCGACGTCGGAGGCTTACCGGCGGCCGACTTGGCCCTCGTCATGCGCGGCAGCGCCTCCGCGACCACACCGTCGCGCTGTGTGGGGCAGGTGGAGGGTGCTCAGGCCGGTGCGGTGCGGTGGCGAAAGAGGCGGGAAGCGCGTGCGGCGGGCGCGGGCGGTGGAGGCGCAGGCGGCCAGGCACCTGCCGCTTGCCACCGCGAGGCTGCACGTCGGACGACGACGACGAGGGGCGCGTCACCGGGTCGAGCGAGGAGGAGCGGCGAGTCTTCGGAGCCATTGAGCGTGATACCGTTGACGGTTATGATTTGGCGGGGCCGGGTCTGTTTTTCTTCTTTCTGTCTTTTGCTAAATAAGGTCGCCTCGCGCAAGCGGCCCGCCCGCCGCGCCGGGAATGGTAACGCCTGCACGCTGCCCGCACTGACAGACTCCCTTCCCGCGAAAGAAAGAGAGGGCAGCTCGCCGGAGAGGTGACGAGTGAATGAACTGACTGACTGACTGAGTGAGTGTAGAGTGAGTGAGGGAGGGTGTAGACTGTAGAGCGCTCCCTCCCCCGCGCCCATTCCCTGCCTGCCCTCCCCTGCCACGCGCCGTCCGAGCCCTCTCCGCTCTTGCACAGGAGGAAATTGGAATTAATCAGATGGCTTCAACACACCGCCCGATCTACCCTCCGGCGTCCCTCGGCGGTGTGCACCTCGATCCTGGAGCCGAGTGATGGGGTCCCAAAATGTCGTGCGGTGTTCTCAGGCCCAGTGAGGCAGTGCATCCGACTGCCCCGGATCCAGCTGAACGAGCTCCTCTTGTAGCATGTTGAGCACTCTCATGGTCTTGCTGTGATCCACGGTCGCAGCTGGAGAGGAGGTCCTGGGGAACGGGAACTGATGGACCTCTCTCCAGCGGAGGGAACGACACGGCCCGATTTCTTCTGGGTCGCGTACACCTCCCGCCGTTCGGTGAGCTTGCGCCTTGTGCATGCCGATGGCAGCCCATGTGGCGAACGGCATGCACTGGGGTGTTCATGGGGTCCCGTACCATGCGGAATCGACCCTATCCAGTGCTCAAGTGCTCAAATCTCTACAACAAACTCTACGTCATTTAAGCGGCGAAAGAGGCATGGTCGCTCTCCGACATGAGGCGCGTTGCACTTGCCAGTGCTGCCCTGGCCTTCTGTCTGCCCGCCCAATGGGTGGCAGGTGCCGCTGCTGCTGTGGCATGCCTCACGGCTGCGACTGGCCGGCGCCTCGGCGCGTCAGCTCGGCTCGGCGTAGCGATAGTGGCCAGCGCAACTCGCCTGGACTCAACGCTCAGCCAGGAGCTCCCGCACGCGCTGGCGCGAGTCATGGCGCATGCAACGCGTCTCCGGGTGCACCCGAGCCCACCCGAGAGGTGTCCCCAAGGGTTTGGGCGCGTTTTGCTGAAAATCGTTCAACTTCAGCTCCGCGTCAGCGCGTTGCACTCATACTGCTCATAGGCCTCGCTCATCGCCACTTGCGCACGGCTGTTCGTGAGCGTGACGCAGCGCATATGCCACTCCCGGCTTCGGCGAAGTGAAGGGCGTCAGGGCTGTCAGGCAGGGGGGGCGACCCTCGTGCGTCATCCTCGATCGTACACACACGCCGGCAGCCGATGCACCCCGACTCGCGCCGAGCGCCGTTGGGCATCTCCACTCATCTCCTGTCGAGATGCCCCACTGTGAGACCCGGTCGCCCCACGCCAGCAGCCTATGCACACCATAGTTCGGCAAAACTCCACGCGCGAAATGGTGCGCAGCTAGAGAAAGTGGTCCAACTTGGGCAAGGCTCTAGTCGCCGCTGCCCATCGCGGAGCCCAAACCCTCGTCTCAGAGCCGATACTGCGACTCATCGCTCGGAAGGGGACCGGTCTAGGCCCGAGTAGGTGCTATCGGCCGCAATAACGCCACTCGGCGCGACTTCTCGGTCGATGCGTCGTTCGTTTCTCAGCCCCTCCCCGTCGGGCGATAGGCGTTGCCGCCGCCTGCCCACACGTGCAGGGGTGGCCTGGCGGAGGCGGACGGCGGGCAAAGCAGCTGCTGCGGCTGCGGAGTGACGGCTTCATCATGGTCGACGCCCATAGGCCCTAGCCGAGTCCAGCTGTGCGCTACTCGTCGGAGGGGGGGACTCGTGCTGCCTCCCCTACGCGGCACCGTCACTGCCACCCGAGGTGGCGGCTGGAGGCCTTCCGGGGAGAATATCTGCCCTCGACAGCAAGGCCTCAGGGCTTGGGCTGCGCGGTCCTTCGAGACGGCCCGGGGGGCGGCGAGAGAGAGAGAGCTCTCCCGCCGTCGTAGCCCCCCATATCGCCGGTAGAGACTCCGTTGTAGTCGCTTCCTTACACTTGCACTCTCGACGCTGCCGCCGTAGCACCAGCTGCACCGCCGCCACCGCCCCCCTAACTGCCCCCTTGCCCACTGGAGCTTACTCCTCTTCAACCTAATCATCAGTAGGACTGCCACCGCTATGGACCACGCTCGGGTCGGCCGAGCCGGCCACATCGCGGGTCGGAAAGTTGAGGTGCTCTCGGGCTGCTCTGCGGCGCGGTATCCGGCCGGCTGAGCACCGATCGGGCGACTAGGACGGCCCGCTCGGCCAGCGCCCTCGACCGTGCCGCCCCCACACCGTCAGTGGCGGGGTCGGGGGGGCAGGCGGCGTCCGCGCAGCCCCTCGCGGGGGTGCCCACCGCTCTCCTCTCACCGCTCCCCCCCCGCCCGTGGCACCCCACGCACTCGTCCCTCCTCAGGGGCGCAAGGCGTCACGTTTGACGCTTGCCTCGGCACACCTCGCCATCTCGCCCGCCGCCGCGGCCAAGGTGGTGACCTCGGCGGCCCAGACGAAGCCCGTGCGGCTCGTTTGGGAGCCGCGCGCCGTCCCTCTCTCGCCCGCGCCGCTCACACGGCCCAAGCCCACGTCGCTCCGGCCGCAGGCGCCGCCGGGGCGCAACCAGCGCCCCTCCCGAGCACCTTCCCGGCGGGCAGCGCCTCCGTAGCGGCGCTGGCGGCCCCTGCGAGCCGGCCGGCGCCACGAGTGCTTACTCGAAGGCGCGCGCGTCCCCACTCCCCCTCCCCCTCCCGGGTCAGGCGTGCACCGAGCGTACAAGATGGCCGCGGAGCCCAGCCCCAGCGACGCTGTCTCTTCCGCCCGAGCGATGGGTAACTCTCTGGCCGGGCTCAGGCCCTCTCGGGCTGCTGCGAGCTGCGCGATGCGCGTCCCCTCCGCCGCACAACCGTACCGTCCCCTGCCCCTCACCCTCCGACTCCGCCGCAGGACCGGTCTGGCGACACGGGACGACCGCCCAGAGCAGCACCACCGACCATCCCGACCCCGCGGGGGGCGGGGCGGGCCAGCGAGACGTAAGAGCGCCCCTCCCTCCCTCTCGTGGCGCGTCCCCTCCTTCCTCCCCGCACCCCGCCACCCGGCTCGCCGCCCCGTTGCCGTCGCGAGTCAGCCCTCGGTCAGGTACTGCCAAAGGCGGCCACAAGCAGCACCATCGCTACCAGCGCCACCGCGCCGGTGCTGGTAAGCTCTGCGGCCCGTGTAGCGGCCCCGTAGCCCGTCGTCCAGGCACATGGCGCCCTCACACCGCTCCTCGCCCCCGTCTCGCAGGCCAAAATCGTCGACATCGCGTCGGCACTCTCGACGGCGCGCCTGGGCTCGCAGAGGGCGGCCTGGGCGGTGCAGGGTGGCTGGGCTGCCCCCCTCCCGCGGTGCGCCAAGCCTCGGGGGTCGGGGAGACCATCTCGGGTCGCCGAGGGGGCGGGTCGGACGCCCGATCCGGCTGCCGGCTGGAGGACGTCGCCGGCTCCGCGATTTTTGGCGCCCCAGGCGCCTCCAGCCGGGACGAGCGGCGCCAGCTGGTAGCTGGAGCCGCAGGGCGGTCGGGCCGACACCGTATGCTAGTCGGAGTGGGTTGTCTAGGGGTGTAGAGGTCGGTAGAGTGTCCGTTTGTGGCCTCCGGACGGGCTCTGGTCGGGAGCCCGCCGGGCCGGCTGAGGCGGTGTGTCCGTCCACTATGGTCCCAGTGGTGGCTTAGAAGTGCTCTCTGGGCAGTACACATCCTATATAACACCTACGGACCGGAAGGTACCGCCGTGGCGCCGCGAGGGGCCGTCTGAGCGCCAGCGTGACCCTTCCCGGGCCCCCTTGGGTGGGCTCCGGTGCACCCGGCTGAATGCTCGCCTCGCCTCGCGCAGTTATAGGGTGTTGTGTGCCGTCAGAGTGACTCTCTGTGTGTCAGGGATAGCCAGGGCCGTCCATTAGAGCTCCAGTAAGCTCGGAGACACCCCATTAACGCGGCTCGACCTCTTGGAGTCACTGCCTTCCCGGCGGTTTGGCTGTAGAGCCTCTACAACAAACTCTGCAGCAAAATCGCGCTCTACATCGCTCTACAACGCAGGCAGTTCGTCCCGCGGCGGATGTAGAGCTCTACAGCTCTACAGCGCTCCAGAGCGCTCTACATCTGACTCTACAGCTCTACAGCGCTCTACACTCTACATCCTCTACACCCTCCCTCTCTCGACTCCCTCTCAGCGAGTGAACTGCAGGTAGTGGGGAAGGCAGCTTCGATTGCCATACAGACATGGTGTACGAAACAAGAAACAACGACAAGACCAAGGCATGGGCAGAGGAGCGAGCGAAGAAAAAGAGGATAGGGCGCCTGCTCACGGCATGGAGCATGAGCCACTTTTAGCCACGCCGTCCGGAGAAGACAAGAGGCAGACAGACGAGAGAGACTCTCTCATTGTTAAGGTTCTTCGGGCCCCTTTAGGGGGGCAAACCCTGCGCGGCCCCTAGAGCCGCAGGTAAGGCCCAGGTGTGGCCTAGGGCATCAGAAGGGACCAAGAGGAGTCCAGTCTGAGCCATAGAGCCCATGTCTTTGCCCCCGAAGGTCGTGTTCAAATGCCCGGAACGGACGCTACAGTGGTGTCCGGCCGGCGCGATCACCGAGCTGTGACGCTCAGGGAAGCCTGATGAGGTACTAGTTTCTTTGCCCAGGGCTGGCCTACGGCCCGTGCTGGATCAGCTGAGCAAGGTTTGGGGAGAATCCTATAGTAGGATCTTCAGATATTTTGACGGATGACCGAAAATGGGCAAAAACGGGGTGAAACCGACACTCGAGAGTGAAATGGACTTGACGTCCGCGAAAGAGGGAAGTGCACAGCGACATGAAACATGTGTGGTGGCGGCGTGCCGTCCTCTTATCTACTGCCAGTGCGCGCCAGTCCCCTGCCCACTGTGTTGGAACCTTGTAAATCTTTCTTTCTATAAATAAATAAATAAAACGGAGACGCCAAACGAGGGGTGGGAGAAGGACAGGGTTTCTAAATAATAAATAAATAGAGCAGTCATCTCCAGGAGAGATGGGCGACGCACGAACACAGTTACAGCGGAGGCCCGAATGGCGGCCGACCAGCTGATAAGGTCTTCACTCTCTCTTGTGTTTTGTGTGGCTTGAGTAGCAATCAAAGTTCTAATACCGCCCGGAGGTGCTGTCACTCCGTAGAACGAACTAAGTAAACCTCACCGAGGTCGCCACTCAACCTCCCGGAGGTCATGGCAGAGCGTCGGTCGGGCGCCATGCGCCCGCCCGCCAGGGCCCGGCCCGGGGAGTGGCAGTCGCCTTTCATGCGACCTGCGTCAAAGGCTGCAGAGCGCCGGTTCACGGGCCCAAGGGCAAGGCGGTGGTTCACGCCTCGGGTCCGGCGGCAGTTCACGCCCTGCACAAAAGGTAAACTCCCAGTTCCGCAGATTTGTAGGCTGCAACCAGCCCTTCCCAGCCCACCACCTTGGCTTCCAGCCTTCCCAAAGCCAACCGTTCAGTTGTTGGGTCAAAGGGCGCAGAAACCCCCAAATTAACCGTTCAGTCGTTCGACCACAATTTTTCCCATGTCGACCCTTCAGAGGTCGTGTCGGAAAAGGGCAAAGGTAAGCCACCGTGCTTCTACTCTGCCGACCGCACGGCCGCTTCGGGAGCAGAAATGTGCCGGGTTAGTGCCGGGTTATCGTAATCCTTTTGCGCGTAAATTAGCGAGCTCCGCGCTAACTAAGTGAAAATTCTTTTGTACCAGCGACGCGTGCTGAGGCTCTTGCCATGGTGAGCCTCACGACAGCCCGCCCCTGCGGCTGGAATGTCGCGCCGTCACGCCGTCGGGGCGGCGAGGGGCGCGCACCGGGCCGGCGATCGGCCGCGTCCGCCCCCCCGCCCCTTTTCGTGGCCTCCCGGCCCCTGCGTCGTCGGCCGGCGTCGTCCCGCTCTGCCCTGCCCTCTCTTCAACCGCGCTGCCGCAGCGTCGCGGGAACCCACTCGCCCCCTTGCCCCGGCGGCAGGTCAAGAAGGTCGGCGAGCCGTGCACGCTCTACTGCAAGGGCCGTATCCTCGGATACAAGAGGCGCGCCGCCCCCGCTCTCCGCGCATGGGGGGGCGTCGCGTCGGGCGCGGCCGCGTGGCTCGGCTTGCGAGGGCGGGCGGCCTGACGGCTGGCTCCGCGCGCCGCAACCTCGCAGGAGTAAGGTGAACCAGTACGAGAACCAGTCGCTCATCAAGATTGAGAATGTCAACTCGAAGTGCGACACGGAGTTTTACATGGGCAAGCGGTGCGCCCTCGTGGCGGGGAGGGGAAGGGAAGGGAGGGGAGGGGAGGGCGCTGTGCGCTGTGCGCTGTTGCTGCCGCCGTCGCAACGCCGCCGGATGTGGGGGGAGGGGCGTTTGGCGTGCCGTCGCCGTGAAGGGGCGGACGGGCAGGAGGCGGACGCCAGGGCCCGCAGTCTGTTGGTCGGGCTGGGGAGGGCGTTTCCGCGCGGCTGCTCTGCGCGTGCGGCCCACCGCCCCCACCCCACCCCCACCCCCACCCCCACAGGGTGGCCTACATCTACAAGGCCAAGCGGGAGATCAACGGCAGCAAGTTCCGGGTCATCTGGGGCAAGGTCTGCAGGGCGCACGGCAACAACGGCGTGGTGCGCGCCAAGTTCCGGAAGAACCTGCCGCCCTCGTCCATCGCCGGCCCGTGCCGGGTCATGCTCTACCCGTCTCGCATCTAGAGTCGCGCCGCGCGCTAGAGAGACGTGAATGTGCCCTCATCCCTTTCCCGCGAGTGACGAGACCGAGGCGCGCAAATAGATAGCTTCTCGGTCGTTTGTGTCATGTATAACAGCCCGACTGCACGTTTGATGTGTTGTTGTGCGCTGCGGACTGCCGGCGAGGCGCCCCTCTCGCCTCGCTGGCTCTGGCCTCTGCGCTCCTCTCGGCACTCACTCATCTCCTACTCTCTCGGGGGACCTTGCCCCTCTATGGCACAGCGCCACAGGCCGCCCTCTCAACCTCTCGAAAGAAGCGCCGTGCGCTCCTCCGCTCTCGCCCGCCTCACGGCTCCGAACTAGGCTGCGATACCGTGCGGTTTCTCTTTCAAGCTGGGCGCCACGGCTAGGCCGGGCCGCAGCCACGCCTTGACCAGGACGCTCAGCTGACTGCACTCGCCGCCTTAACCGCACAAGTCGCGCGCGCTGGACGCCTGCGTCATGCTGATCGCGCGCAAGGAAGGGCTCGCCAATGAGACGCGGCAGCGGCAAGTGGCGATCCGCGAGCGGGAGCTGCTCTACTACACAAAGAACTGCCGCATGCTCGGCGACCTGGCTGCTCTGGTCGCCGGTTTCGCGTACTCGGGAATCCGCTACCACTACCTGCTCGAGCGTCAGACCTCGTTCAGGGCGGGCGAGGGCGACGCACTTGCTGAGATGGTCTTTCTCTCGCTGCTGACCGCCTGCATGGGCCTCGGCCTGCAGACCGTGCTCATCGCGATGCTGGTGGCGATGCTCGGGCCGTCGCTGGCGCTGCGCGGGCCGGACGGCTCCCTCGCCGACGCGGTGGCGGGGATGCAGGGCTACACCAAGGCGATGCTCGCCCTTCACCGCTTCGGTCGGCCCTGCCCTGGACCTCTCCGGGACTGTCTACAGGTGATGCTCGCCACCTTCATGGCTGCGCTCGGGCTGCTGCTGCTCTCGGCCCTCACTTCCCGCTGCGGCCTCTCACGGATGCGCCGACCCTCACCCTAAAGGCTGGCCTCCGCGCCCTCATCAGGTGCTGTCCTTCACGTTTGGACACTCGCAGATGGGGCCCTCCTCGCGCGTGGTGCTCTGCTCGACGATCCTCGCGATCATCGGCGGCACCGTCCGGTACTCGCGCATCGTCCTGCGCGTCTTCCGGCTGCCCGACGCTGCGGCGGTCTCGGGCGCATTCTTCGACGAGCACGGCGCCTGCAGCACCGGCACCGCTTGCTGTAGCACCGGACCGGGCGCGGCTCTCGCGGATGCTGACGGCGAGGACGGCGACGGGGCGGTCGCGGTCGGGGCGTCGCTTTTGCCGCGCCGCAGCCAGCAGAGGTCGTCCTCCGGACGGAGCCGAGGGAGCGGCCGGCGCAGCAGCGGGCTGGTGTCGGCCGCGTTCGGGTCGCTGTTGGGGGCCGGGCCGGGCAGGAACTTGGACGTCGGCTGCCGAGAGAAGCAAAAGGCCAGAGGGCCGGCCTCGGCCAGTTCAGAGCTGAGGCCGCTCTTTTATGGCGGTACAGAGGATTGACTCCGGTTCTGTAGTTTAGCGTTCCGTCAGTTTGCTGTCCGCGACACTCGCTGCTCCTTGCTGCGCCCGTCTTCCGCGTGAGGCGTGTGTGCACATGACAACATACATGACATGTGCATGTGCATGTGCATGCACATGCACATGCACAGCAACACACAGTGCACACACCCCGACCCGCACCCGGCGAAAGAGACACACTGCGTGCGTCGTCCGCGGTCCGGTCGACGCAGCTCGCAGGGGGGGGGCTCGAGGGGGCGCATCGCAGGGGGGCGGGGGCGCCGAGGGCGCGGGTCGACGACGACGTCGTGTATGTCGTATTTTAATATAACATTATTTTTAACATTTACATACGCGGTAGAAAAGGCGGAGACACCCCCCTTACGAGTTATCGCGTTAAATCCGACACATACATGTCGCTCACATGCAACGATTGCCAAAAACAAAATATGAGATGTACTGCGCGGCCGCGCAATTGCCGCCCCCCGGCCCTGGCCCCTGCGGCCTGGTCCCGCGGAAAGATCGCGGAGACCCCGGAGACGCGGAGCGTGCGGACTGCGCAGTCAAAGCTCGACAACCGAACGCGCGTTGAACCATGCGCGGTAGGGTACTCCTGTATGTACGGGGAACTGGGGATGCTGCCCCTCTCGTGGCGAGTCCCTGCGCGTCTGGCCGGTCGTGGCCGCCGGCTCCGCCTTGGGCTGTGACGGGAGGCTGCCGCTCTAGCTCGCGGCCTGGTCGCTGGCAGCCGCCGCGGCCGCTTGCGAGCACTGCACCCACTTGTCTAGGGTGGAGATGGGTGAGCCTACGCGGCGGGGGCGAGAACGTGTGGGAACGCGCGCGAAGGTGCCAGCTTCGAGCGCGGCGGGCGGCGAGCCGGCGGCGATGGCCTCGCTCGCGAGCTTGCAGCCGGCCTGCAGCGTCGGAGCGACGCCGGCGACGTAGAGTCCGGCGCCGGCGTTGAGGGCGACCGTGTCGGCGATGGGTCCGGGGAGCGTCCCCGAGAGCACCTATGGGGCAAGGGAAGGGGAGGCATCTCCACATGCCGGTGTGGGGTAAGGGCCGGGCGGTCCCTCGCGTCGCCACGCCCTGCGGCGGGCGTCCCTCGACAGTGCAAGGCCGGGTGCGTGTGGGGGAGCAGAGCGTGCGAGGTGCGTGCGTGTGTGGCGTGTGCGTGGTGCGTGTGAGCACCTTGCGCAGTGAGGCGGCGTTCTCCACGCAGTCGCCGCCCTTGAGGTCGTCCTAACAGCGCACGGGCGACGAGGAATGTGTCCAGGACGCCTCTGGCAGCGCAGCGTCGCGGAAGGCTGGGCTGCAATGGAGCAAACGGCAAAGCCGAGCCGAGTGCAGTCGAGCGTCGAGTACTCGACGCCGGCAGGTGTGACCGTCGCCACGCTCGCCTGGTCCATGGATCCTCTCGTCAGGCTCGGCTGATCATGGACGCATTCGTACTGCGGTCGCCGCCGCGATCGCCTCGCCGATGGGCGCGAGTTCGTCGAGGCCGCAGCAGTGCACCACCTGCGGCGACGAGGTGCGCGGCCTCGGGCTCTCGGCCGTCCGGCCGTGGGCTGCAGCTCACGGGAGAGAGGAGGGAGGGAGAGAGGAGGGAGGGAGAGAGGAGGGAGGGAGAGAGGAGGGAGGGAGAGAGGAGGGAGGGAGAGAGGAGGGAGGGAGGGAGGAGGGAGGGAGAGAGGAGGGAGGGAGAGAGGAGGGAGGGAGAGAGGGAGGGAGAGGCGAGGGTCACTGAGGGGCACCATGATCAGCTCAGCGCCCAGCGCGTGCAGCGCCTCCGCCACGAGGGCGACGAGCGAGGGTGCGTAGACGCCGATCACGCCGCGGGTGCACGCGGCTGGGTTGATGAGAGGCCCGAGGATGTTGAAGACCGTGCGCACGCCGAGCGCCTGCGCAGCGAGGGCGTTCGTGAGGCGGCGGTGCAGTGAGGGCAGCAGGGACGGGAGAGGCGGCCGCGAGGAGAGACGGCAGGATGGACAGCAGGCGGTAGCGGAGCGGTGAGGCGGCGAGCCTTGCGCACGGGCACGATGTTCTTCATGGCAGGGTGGAAGCCGGGCGCAAACATGAAGGCGATGCCGGCTTGGGCGATGCAGGCTTCAATCCCGCTGGGCGGTAGCGCCAGCGACACGCCCACCTCCTCCAGCACATCCGCTGAGCCGCACTTTGACGAGACAGACCGGTTGCCATGCTTTGCCACCGCCGCGCCGCAAGCGGCAGCGACGACCGACGCGGCGGTCGAGATGTTGACGGTGTGATGGCCGTCGCCGCCAGTGCCGACGATGTCGATACACGGCCGCGCCGGACTCACAGTCAGCATGTGCCTCCGCATCGTCCGCACCATGCCGGCCACCTCTGCCGGCGTCTCGCCCTTTGAGCGCAGCAGCACCAGCAGCGCGGCGGCCTGGCACGGGTCGGCGCCGGCGATGATTGCCTCGGCCGCCGCAGCGCTCTGATCGAGGGTGAGGTCCTGGCGCTGCACGAGTGTCTCTATCGTGTCCTTCATTTCTCGGCAGTTTTGTGCCACGCACACGAGCGAGTCGGTGCGCCGGGAGCGAGGTGCAGAAGACAAAAATAATGGGGCCACACCCTGCATGTGTGCGGTTGATGACTGCACTCGTGTGCTCCAAGTGCAGCTAAGTGCTCTCAGCGGAGCTGGGAATAGGACCGCCGCAAGCGGCGTGGCGTGGAGCGGTTGAGCATCCCTCCGGGGGCCCCTCTGCGCCGGGGAGGCGTTGTTGGAGGCTAGCTAGGACGCAAGCAAGCGTCCTTCCCCTTTTTCAAACTCGGGGCCCACTCCGCTGCGCTCCGACCCGAATTTGGAGGGCCATGAAGTTTAAGGTGTTGCTGCGCAAAAGGGGCGGGGCGCGGCGCGCGCAGCCGCCGTGAGCTCTTTTTGGAGACCAGACCTTTCGATGGTTCATGCTTTCTATGTCTATCTATCATGCTTCATGACACGACACGCGGTGGTGGGAGCTGGTGGAGCTGTCAGCTGATCGATCCAAGCGGGTGGGGAGTGGGGGGCATGGCTGGGCATGCAGGTCCGCCAGTCGGCCCGGCCTCTGACGTGGTGCTGCCGCTGCATTCGCTGAAGAAGAGAGGTGCGACGGCTTGATTTGGAGGCACTGGAGGCGAGGGTGGGGAAGGGAAGGTTGGGCCGGGCCGTGAGGGGCTGATGGCGCTGGCCAGCGCGGGGTGTGAGATGCCGTCGTCGTCGTATACTGCTGGCCCTCGCCCTCAGTTGCCAGGGCTGTGGGCTGCAGAATTGGCGTCTGTGGCGTCTACGCAGGCTCTGCAGCGTGATGGCTGGCGGGACTGCGAGGCCGGCGGCAGCGGAAGGAGAGGCTGGGCTCGAGCCAGGAACAGGCTGGCCAGGTCCGCAGGTGGCTGCGCTCGGGCGAGGCGCGCGCGCGCACATGGCAGGCCTGGCTCGGCAGCTCCGATTTTCTTTTTTTCGCGCTGCACCTCGGACAGGGGAGGGACGCGGCCAGAAAGTGACAAAGAGGTCAGCTCCGAGCTCGTTTGTTGTTGTCTTAATTTCCAGCTGCAACGAGCAAGCAAACCCTGCCTAGAGCCTGACGAGTACAGCTAGACCTAAAGTGTAAAGAGTACCCGCGGCTCCCCACCTCCGTGTGAGGGCCCGTGAATGAACATCTTCAGCTTGTGAGCCCAGAAAAGGGGTCGAATTTCCAGGGTAGGTAGAGGGTAGTCTCAGCCTACCTAGCCAGCCAGCGCAGCGCGATCTCGGGCGATCCCTGATGCCTGAAACGGTTGAACTTTACTTATGGCCCATTCCCTGCGAACGCGCACCCCCCAGGGCTAGCTAGGTAGGGCTCTCTCTCTCGCCCGCAACCCGATGCCAATCGTCCGGCCCGCTGGGTGCGCTTCTGAGCTCCCCTGCCCTGGGCGTGCGGTGGTGCGGTTGATGACCGCACTCCAAGTGCTCCAAGTTTACGTATTCGGGTTTTGCTATTTGCTCGGTGCGTCGGTGGGGGCATTGCAGATTTGTCAATGGTACCGCGTCTGCGACGCGGGCACCTTGCGGGCAGAGCCCTTAGCCACCCTTCATCTTGCGCGGTCAGAATTTGTCATCCCGCGCGCAACAAAACGCATTCATGTCGCCCCGCACTTCGGAGGACGGGGCAGGAGAGAGAGGACGACGAGAGTGGGACGACCGCGAGGTGGCATGAAGGTCGCTGCGAGAATTGGCTGCGAGAATTGGCGAGAGACTGCGAAAAGAGCTAGGAAGAGGGATATAGGGGAAGAGGCAGACGCCCAAGCCCCAAGGGTGGGCGACGGCTAGCACCACACTCCTCACCTTCATGCTTCAAATCGCCCTGTCGGTGGTGGCGGCTGGCGGCGTGCCGTTCTCCGCCATCTCTTCCCCTTGGGTGCTGTTTTTCTTTTATTTTTTTCGACGAGTTCGCAGTCGCCCCGAAACCCTCTACAGACTACACCGCCTCTTCCTCTCTGAAAGAGCTCTCACACGTCCGCGACATCACGACCGCTCTCTCGCAGAGCACTCCACATATCATACGTACACATATTATGACGTCCGGCCATCACGCCATAGTCTGAGGGTTAGGTTTCTGGAGCCTCGGGTGCTTTTACGCTTTTGAACGGGTCTCAGGGCGGGAGAGTGCGACTTTTACCACTTTGGTCGTCTCGGAGCGCCCAACTTTTAGCATTTTTCAATTTTTCTTCGGCGCTGCGCGCCGGGTGCAGTAAGTACTAGCTATCGTCCCGCAAACGGCAGAAGACTAGTTCCTGCACACTATGCCTTCCCTAGAGCCTAGTGGCTGCCTAGAAAAATGCTGGCGCTCGCCTCGAAAGCGCCCGCCGGTGTGTGTCCAAACATGTAGCGCTACAAGTTTGTAACACATAAGGGCGCTGCTGCGCACGAGGCTGAGGCGCGCTGAGCCCGGGGCTCTTTGCGGCGGCGGCGATGCGAAAGGTCCAAAAGCTGTCCAAAAGGATCTGGTGGCGATATGAAGGTGGTGGAGCTCAAGGAGGAGCTGGGCGAGCGTGGCGAGGCCCTCTCGGGCAACAAGGCGTGTCGTACTCGACCTCGTGCACGAACCACGATCCGTCCGTCCCCGTCCTCCTCCCGCGCCATGACGGTCGCAGGGTACCACCGCTCATTGTCGCAGAAGATCTCGAGGCGCGATCCGGTGGACAGGACAGTGTGGCCGTCGAGCGCCGCCCTGGCATCCTCGCGCTTTCGCTTCCGGCGCATCGCCTTCGTCTCCTTGCTGCGCAGCAGGGTGTAAGTAGTTCGGGCCCACCTCCGCCACGCTGTCCAGCACGTGGACGGCGCTCGCCATCTCGACCGCGTCGTCCTCCGGCGGAAGCTCCGCGTCGCCCGCGGCCGCTTCCCGAGCGCGCTCGTCGCGCATCTGCTCGTGGTGGGCCACGAGCCGACGCGCCACGCCGGCGCCCGTGTGCCTCGCGCCGCCAGGTCGTCCCACAAGGTCGTCCCAATGAGGACGCATCCAACCCGCCGCATTTCGCCCGCCGAAAAGTCTCACACTCGCGCCCTGCCCCAAACCTAAATCGTCTCACTATTTACATACAATCGTCTCACTAGTTACATACATACATTATCACGCACACAACTACACGGCAACCCCCCCGGCGCCGGCCGACGTGCGACGTTGAACCAGCTACCAGGTGCGTCGAGCCCGTGCTGGAGACACGGGCCGCGGCTTGCACACGTCACACGTCGTTTCAACGTCAGAAGGGGGTGATCTGGGCATCGACCCCCAGCGGTTTTAATGTATACACACTCTATGCCAGAGACCTCCCCCCCCTCCTCTTAGCCCCCCGCCTTGGCGACATCCGACATACAAGCAACCCCTCGTGGCGAACCCCACTAATCTGCCCTGCCTAGCCTGAGCTCTCCACCAATGGCAGCATAAGAGAGCCATGGTGCGAGTCGTGCGCGCTTGCCTCCACATGCGCGGCCCCGTATTGGGCTGTCCGCGCACGCATCATGTGGCGCTTTGGCAGCCGGGCAGCAATACCGTGTGCGCGTGGCACACGATTTACGAGCCTCACCCACCCGCGGGGCCGCCGCCCGTAATGCTACTACCTGCGTCGGGGGGAGGGTCACATGCTCGGAGGTCACACGAGGGTGGGGCGCGCGCTCACAGGCGAGGGAGCAGGCACCTCCGACGCGGCCCATCGGTCGCCGCCCGGGTCCGCCGCCGCCACCGCCGCCGCCGCCGCCACCGCCGCCGCCGCCGCCAAACCCGCCTCTGCGCACCTGCCGCCGCGGCGCTCCCTTTTGCTTGATCGCATCTGGATTGAACAGCGTCGCAAAGAAAAAGGCGATGAGAGCGTAGACCTGGTTCGGAAGATTGAGCAGCTCCTCCATGAAGGAGCGTTGCTCGATCACTTGCCCATTCCGAAGGTACGGCATGATCGGCCCTGAGGACTCGTCCGGCTTTTTGAGGACTCCTCAGCAGCTTCTGGACGCCGGCGCTCCGAGTGTGTTTCCAAAAAAGAAATCACCCGAGAAGGGGCCTGTGTGGCGGCGCCGCAGGACGAGACAGAAGAGAACGACGCGACAGAGGAGGAAGTGACAAGGGAGAGAGCGACGAGAGTGGGACGGCCGCGAGGTGGCACGAAGGTTGAAGCGAGAATCGGAGAGAGACTGCGAAGAGAGATAGGAAGAGGCAGACTCCCTAGGGTAGGCGACGGCTAGCGCATCACACTCCTCTCCTTAAAATCCCTGTGTGGTGGCGGCGTGCCGTTCTCCCATCCCTCCCTTGAGTTGTCTGTTTTCTTTCTTTCTTTCTTTTTCCTCGGTACTGATAAGTTTTTTCTTCCTTTGGGGGGATCGCCAGCAGGACTTGGGCCTTTCTCGACTTAAGCGTCGAGTGCTGTGGTCGAATCGCATGCCGTGGGTTGCCTCCGGGCCATCTTTTTCCCGCGCTGTCGCAAGGGGCGAGCGCTCAACACTCGTACGTCCAGAGAATGGAATTGTCCTGTGTAGCGCCTTGAGCCTTCATGAAGGCTGAATCCTCAATGCTCGACCAACCGGCGACAGGGCTGTCGGAACCGACGCAGGCCTATTGCGTTGCGCTCCTTAGTCAAGAGAAGAGCCTCGGCGAGCTGCAGCGACACCTTCACAAAACAGAGGCGCTCTTCCGCGAGTCGGTCCAACGCAAGAACCAGCAGCTGGACCTGCTGCTCGCCGAGGTGCGCCGCCTGTCGGCCAACGCGGCGGGCCGGGAGGCCAAGGCATCCGAGCACTTCGAGTCCTCCCTTGACGCCCAGCGGATCGAGCTGGGCCGGCTGCGGCAACAGCTCGCGACGCGGGAGACAGAGGTGGGCAAAGCGCGCTCGCTCTCCTTGCACACACACACACACACACACACACACACACACACACATACACACACACACACACACACACACACACACACACACACACACACCTCCAACTCGCTCCAATCTTGGCCTCAGGTGGATGCCCTCGCAGCGCAGGTCCAGCAGCTCAGAGCGGACTTGGCGGAGGAGCGGACGTGGCGCGAGGCGGCAGTGGAGCGGCTTGAGAGCACCGCCGCCGACAGGGCGACGCTAGACGCGCAGCGGTCTGAGCTCTCGGCCCGGTGCGTCGCGGACCGCTCGCTGTTGGGTTGCCACGTTTACGTGCCAATCCTGCCGAGGCGCGGCTCTAGGCGAATCGAGTTCTCCGAGCTCAGAGCTCAACTAGCAGACGCGCGCTGCGCCACCTCACGGCTCGAGGCAGCATCGCGGGAAACGGAATCCAAGCTCTTTGCGAGAGAGGTGTGTCGCACCGGAGAGTGCCCGGTCCTGGCAAAGTGGGCGGTAGTGCACGCCCAGTATGGCATGACATGCAGACGCTGATGGAGTAGCACTAATAGTCCTTCCCCCCTCTCAGGCTGAGCTCGAGCGACTGCGGGCGAGCGAGCACGATCGAGCGCTGCACGAGACAACGCAGGCAGAGCCTCCGCGCTGCGTTTGGCGTCGCGTATGCCAGCATATTCAAGCACCGTATGGGACAGGCGGAAATCGAGGAGTTGAGGGCACGCCTTGACGGCAGCGAGGTGGCGGGGGCGGCGTCTCGTTGCAGCTCCTTCGGACAAATGCTTCGCCGTCAGCGCGGCTGTAACCCATAGGCTGCACGAGCGACTGAGCGCGACAGCATCCATGCGCGGCTGAGCGACGCGCGCACGGAGCTCGAGGCGGAGGCGGAGTCGATGCGTGCCGAAAGCGCGGCAGCAAAGGCTCGTGCAAGTGAGGCCGAGGCGGACGCCGAGGCGGAGGCCCGTGAGAGGGCGCGGCTCGAGGCGGACATGGGCGAGGCAGCGAACATGGTGCCTTCCAACACCCGTCCCTGCGTCAAGCTGCTTTCAATATCCGCGGTCTCCTGCCACGCATCTCGGGCTCCACGCCTAGACCGTATCTCTGGCTCGTGCGCTCGCGACAGACGTTGCATCTGCCGCATTGTAACGCGTCCGTCCACAGGTGGTTGCGCTTCAGGCGCAGGTCAAGGCGCATGCGCAGGCCAGGGAGTCTCTCGCAGCTTCCGCTGACAGCGCTGCGGCAGAGAGGAGTCAGCTCGCCATTGAGCGGGATGCCGCCTTGCTCGAGCGCGATGGCCTCGTGGCGGAGCGGGACTCGCTCGAGGTGGA